CACTGGCTCGGAAGATGAATTCTGATTGGCTAAAAAAACAAAAAAACTTGTGGCGTTGAATGCACGTTCATTGTCAGTATTGTTATGCAAATTCAAACTAGCTAATCATTTACAACCTTCCGAGCCAGTGCAGATTAGCCCTATTCTATGCTTGCTAAGTGATAGAAAATATCCACGTCACAGAAACATTGCTATACGCTGTGCATCGTACCTGCCAATCCCGAAACTTTACGTGCATAGAGTACTTAAAACCTTCGTTGGATATCCTATGTCCAGAATTCTACTATTCTATTTCTCCGATTACGCTGCGACACGAAATTGATTAAATATTGACCATGTACTTTTTAAAGTTTTCATGGGGGTGTTTTTGACAGAATTCCTACTATAACCTGTATTTAATGTCTAACACTATCACGCACGGATTCGTAGGGATGGTTGAAAGCGTGTACATCGGACGATAATGGTACCGGTGTGTCCAATAGAACGGGCCAGCGTCACAAATGAATCATACACTTCTACTATGTGTACCGTAACCATTGCAATATAAATAAATAAAGAAAAATCAATGCAATACTGTTATTTAACACTAAAAGGTAGTCACGAAATCCAGGTGTTTTTCAGGTTCAGCTAAAATGCTACTTGATCCATTCCAGCGATTGTTCATTACTATGAGCGGTGGACTTTTAATTTTATGTATTTCCAACTTGAGGCTTTGAAAGTTTAAAATATCGACATATACATACTAGTCGTTGTTTCACAGACACATGGCCGATACTGGTTATCATTTTGTTCGATATTTAATAATACATTCACCACCGCAATGGAAACCCATATGTACACACTCTTCCAAGGTACAAAATGTATGTCGAGTGTACGTAAGGCCAATGACGTCATTGCAACTAGCATATTAGTTTTCGCTAACCTACGACCTACTAGTATGGTGACTCAATAGTCGTGTTCGGGCTACACCAAGTACAGTAAGTACCATGTACAAAGTAGACTAATCTTATTTGTTTGCGTATCAACTAGACCCAATTGCGTTCATGAACAGGAGAAAACAGTGGTGGTAGCACGTGCTAATGGAACGCCTAAACTTGTTAAGAATATACAAATTTTCAGTTCTTTTAACTATGATAACCTTAGTTCTCCGGTTATAAAACAATACCAAAACAAATTCAGAAAGTGCAGATTGAAGACTAAGTCTCGTCGTCAGTCCATGCCCTGCTCGCATTGATTGTCATGTGGGAAATAGTGTACCGAAGTG